AAATGTATACTTCTAAGCTTTAGTAAATGTGAATGTCCTGTAACCTATTATAATTATGTTAGACTTGTAATGGATACTTGTGTCAGCTGGGAGCTGTCATGCTGGATGACATTTCGTGTGTTTTTTTTAAGCTCGTATTAATTGCGTTTGTTATTTTATCGTAGCCATTCTGTACGTCATCCCAGTCTTCGAGTAGATTTGTGACACAACTGTTTAGTGATTTGACGTAAGTTTGTACTTCATTCTCGTTCCTTAACTGTGATCGGGTGCTTTGGCCGAATTTGCTACGGTTTATTGGTTTTGAGGATAAAGTTAAGTGAAAGTTACCCTAATCGGTCTATGGTCCGAAGGGTAAGTGATATTTAAGACTTGTATGTTGTCTATGTTTTTTGGTAAGTTTTTTAAAATTTTTTCTATAGCCTATTTCATTTTTTGTATAGCCATTCGGTGATCTACAGGTCCATCTCTGTTTGTTGTACTTTTTGAAATAAGTATTCATAATGCATAAGTTGTTCGCATGCGCAAAATCAATGAGTCGACTTCCTCTACCATTTCTTTTTCCGTAGCCGTATTTTCCCGTGATGGTTTCGTTTGGTCTAGGTTACCCAACTCTGGCGTTAAAATCGCCCATTACTACAGGTCATTTCCTGAAAGTTGTATGGCGCTATAGATAGTTTTGTAGAAAAGCTCTATTTCTTCTTTTTTCGCATATTCTGTTGGGGCGTAGGCTTGAATGATACTTAGGTCTAAGTTGTTGATTTGTATATTTAGTAGCGCTACTTTCTGATAGTCCCTTAAAGCATTTTATTATATATTTCTTTAAATGTTTTTTGATAATAAAGCCTACTCCATAGAATCCTGATGTACTTTCAATATGGTAGAAAATGAATTCTTCGTGTTCTTCTATTTTATTGCCGAGTCTTCTGGTTTCGGAGAGACCTATAATATCGTATTTTACGTTTCTTAAGGATTCTGTTACTTCCAGTAGACGTAGATAAGTTGATAGGGTTCTAACATTATAGGACATTATATGTAAGATGTCGTGACGTGGATTCTTGCTGGTGTTTCATCTGAAGGGTTTTGGTCGTAATCTTCCACGGGGACCGGCCTGATTGGAAGATGTGGTTTGGTGTTCGTTTTTGTTTGTAATTTGTTCTTCGTGAGAGAGGGTCGTAATTGCTATTGTTTTTTGTTTTGGTTTATTTGGGCGTTTGGTACAATGTTTTCGTTGCTAGTGGTTCGGGTATTAGTTGTTAGGAAACTGAGTATTCCTGGTTTGATCACCCCTTCTAATATGCTTGATGATCTTTGTATTTTTATTCCAGTTTTATTCTTTTTATTAGCCTGTGGTTTTATTTCTGTTTGCGATATATCTTTGAAATTTTATTTATTTTTATTTTTATTTTTATTTTTATTTTTATTTTTATTTTTATTTTTATTTTTATTTTTATTTTTATTTTTATTTTTATTTTTATTTTTATTTTTATTTTTATTTTTATTTTTATTTTTATTTTTATTTTTATTTTTATTTTTATTTTTATTTTTATTTTTATTTTTATTTTTATTTTTATTTTTATTTTTATTTTTATTTTTATTTTTATTTTTATTTTTATTTTTATTTTTATTTTTATTTTTATTTTTATTTTTATTTTTATTTTTGTGGATCGTATTATTAAAATTACTCTAAAATTACATTTTAAAATATTACTATAAAATAAAATAAAATAATATTTAAAAATATAAAAGTAGGAGCCAGCCGGCAGCGGGAGCAAGGTCCAAGCCACCGGCAGTTAGGGCTCCAGAGACAGGAACCTCCTCACAATACATGCCGTTTCAAGGAGGACTGCCTTCTGTATGAGGCCCTTGATCTATCCGCCTAACGTCAGCCTCTTAAGGTGGTTGTCGAGGCTTTTGGGGACTAACCCATTTGCCGACACAACTATCGGCACAACGATAGCCGAGTCCACACTCCACATGTCAACAACCTCGTAAGCTAAGTCAAGATATTTCAATTGTTTATCTTTCTCAGCTTTCACGAGGTTCTCGTCATGAGGAATGGTAACATCGATTATTTTTATTTTTATTTTTATTTTTATTTTTATTTTTATTTTTATTTTTATTTTTATTTTTATTTTTATTTTTATTTTTATTTTTATTTTTATTTTTATTTTTATTTTTATTTTTATTTTTATTTTTATTTTTATTTTTATTTTTATTTTTATTTTTATTTTTATTTTTATTTTTATTTTTATTTTTATTTTTATTTTTATTTTTATTTTTATTTTTATTTTTATTTTTATTTTTATTTTTATTTTTATTTTTATTTTTATTTTTATTTTTATTTTTATTTTTATTTTTATTTTTATTTTTATTTTTATTTTTATTTTTATTTTTATTTTTATTTTTATTTTTATAATATTATGTAATACTTATTTTAATAGTGAACTTCATCGTTTACATTGCGTATAACGTCATATTTTATTACATGGCGGTGCTAAGATTCTCCGCGACTTAATGACCCCGGCCAGTACATTTGTGTTTTGTGAAGGCTACTGTCACGGTGCACTCTCGGGCTACGTCCTACTTGGAATAGTCACTTGAGACTCCTCTGCATAGCAAGTCACGGACACTAAATTATACTTTTATTACAATAATTGTATATTTTTTTGGATTAGAGGACTGCATCCGCCACCTTCGTACAAGCGGAAAGGGTTATGTGGGACTGCGCCTATTTTATTTTATTGAGCCAAATACACGTTGACAACATTGACCTGGCTTTCCTTCACGAACGCGTGACGACACCGGAACAATAATCCCTTTACATTAAGTATTATTCATTTATATGACTTCTCGCTTTCATGATTGGAACACTAGTCTGCAACCGTATAGCCAACCTTCGAATCATCGAAATAATGTTTATGTACCTACAAATAACAATCTGAGTTAAAACTCTAGTACTTACATAACTTTTAAAAATAAAACAGTTTATAAATCTTACGTCCCATGTTTTAAAAATCCAAGATTTTGAACAGGGCTTGTTTATCATATTAACTACCATTTAAACCAAAAAGTAACCAAAACATTATTAGCGGTACAGAACTCCCATACAAGCCTGCCGTTCGCCTTTAGTGTGTGTCAGTCTTTAGTGTCAGCACTGCACCCGTTCTAAGCCAGGGCATACTACAGTCGTTGTTATATAAAATGTTAAATTAAGGTAATTTATATTTTAAAAAAAGAAACCTAGTTCAAATATAGAACGAAGTTCACTTTTTGGATTTAGTCCTTTCCGACCTACCATAGCTACTGATAAAGCTGTGTAATATCGAAGGAATATTATAAAAATATAAGGTGACTTTATTTAGATGCTGCTGATTTATTTTACATTTAGATTCATCAAAATAGTATTTTTTTTTAAATTCATGATTGCATACGTAAAATACAATTCAGTGTGACTGTACGGGTGTTAGTGGTTGCGGATGTGTGGTTGGTTCGATTCCCGTACGGAACAGCTCTTTGTGTGATCCACAAATTGTTGTACCGGGTCTGGGTGTATTGTGCATGTGAAATTGTATGTTTGTAACCGCACCCACGACACAGGAGAAAGTCGTAGTGTGGAGTAACGTTTGTTTTGTAAAATTTAAAGCTTTTATTTTTGACATACTTACTGTATGTATAAATGTATCTACATTTGGGATTTTAGGAGGTTTGTCCTAAATGGGTTTCCATGGCATGATTAAGTACACAATAGAAAAAAACATATGAATAACCAGTCCAACTGCCTCTCTATTAATAACATCAATCAAATGATACACTTACAAAGCTGAGAATCCTTTTTATAAATGTTTGAATCAAGCATGGGTAGACAGAAGGATATTTTATATTTAGTTAGTTACATCTCATAATCATCCTATAAGTATCCAATGCTGAGCAAAGGTCTTTTCTCAAGGCGGATTGGCGATTGATTAAACTTATTAAACAATTTAGGTTTCCTCACGTTGATTTCCTTCACCGTATGTCGGTGGTGTCTAAATAATAATGGAAACTACATACATAAACATGTAAGACAGTGTTTATATTGTCAGGTTTGTAGATATTTTTGTTAAAGTTATGCTGACTAATTTGATATTATACATATAGCAACAATGTAAATAAAACGCTTGTTATGTTTTTTTTTTTCAATATAAAATATTTAATTTAATGTGGGGTTTCGATTACGTTTTACTTAAAATATTTTATAAATATTTGACTGATATTAAAAATGTTTCACTTTTTCATTGATTTATTAGAAGGGAGCTTATTTTTTATTAACGTTTGCACAGGATATGGCACTGTTTTGTGATGCATACTTTTTTGGCGGGAATTGTAAAATATGGACGATTACGAAAGCTTCCTCAGGAAAAATTAAACAAAGTGTAATTTAAAAGTAAAAGAAGGTAACATTCGTTTGAAAATAATAGTTTCTACGCCATCTGGTGAGTTGTTACCGTAAAACTTTCTAAGAACATTTTGTTTTTTTTGTCAGGGAAAATCATCAAGAACAAGCATCATTAAAATCAAAAGCACTGTAAACTGAATCAAAATAAAACCAATTGTATTGAAGATACATTAAAATAGTAATTTAGCGGCCTCTCACCCTAAACAAAATCAGCCGGGGTTGCGGGGTAAGCGTAATGAGGCACCGCGACCTCGGCCGAGAGCAGGAGAAGGAACAGGGGGGTTTTTAGTCAGTAAGAGTCTGACACTCCCTCCCGCCCGGCCTTGGGCGGGAGAAGTCATTTGATGATTTGCCCCTCACAAAAAAAACCTGAACAAAATATACGAAATACAAATTGGACATGCCATTTCGTAAAGGGTAGTGAAATTTGTTACTTATTAAAAAAAATGCCTTATTTTAAACGTTTTTATTTACATTATACGAAAGCGATGCACATACATGATACGTCGATTGAAGAATAGTCCTAAACGTATACTAGTTATACTGACAGATAAAATTGATGAGAGAGTTTAATTTCATTTATTACCTAAAGACAATAATTCAGTATTCTTTTATAGCTCTGAATGAGGTTTGGGTGGTGGTGCTGGTGGTGGTATGGGCTCCCGGTAGTATCTCTGGTAGATTTCATCCCAGAAGCGAGTACGTTCTTCTAGCAGTACACCACGCAGCTCTATCTTCTGTCCCAGCGACATGTGCGGTGACCTGTCAGCGCCGGCAGCGGGCCACGCAGGCAATGAAGACCCTTCAGGTACAGGTTTTCTGAAATACATGATAGTAAAGTATTAATTTAAGATAAATAAATGGACATGGTTTGGCTCTATGTTTTTGCAACTATGAATAAAAAAATATTATTAATTGAGTATTTTTTCATTGAGATAAGCCCACTTCCCCGCTACATCTCACTGCAACTGCTGTGACCCAGAAATCACTATAGACACAACCATGAAAACACCAAAACACTAAATTCCTAAGGACATAAATAACTGTCTTGGATCCCGCAACGAAGTAAATCAGAACATACTTTTTGAGGAGTAAAAAAGCCACTTCCCTTCTTGAATTTAATGCAGGAGACAGAATGACTAAACCTAAAAGGCACAATGAGGCTAACACCACGGAAATTGACCAAACAATATATGGGTCCTATGTGTGAACTCTAAAATACTTGTTTCCTATAATATTAGATAACTCAAAATCAACGGGAAAGAACCACCCACGCACAGGTAAGGCCTTACTAACTGGCAAACTGCCTACCTATGTTATCATATCCTTACACCAACATAAAACCGGTTGATTGAAAAAATCTAAAATGAAAATATATTTTTTTACCAAAAAACCAGTCTTGGTTCACTAAAAAATCAAACCTTATTCGCAATAGCAATGATTCATTATTTGGTATAACGTAAAAGGAAAAAAGGTTATAAATAAAATATAATACTAATGTGTACATACCCAGTCTTAACAAAGTTGTACCAAATTTCTCGCATTGTCTTCTTCATTTTCTGATACTCAGGAGTCGCCAAAGATTCATCTGGGTGAGTCATGTTTTTTCCATCTATTAAGGCCATCGACTGAGCGCAGTGATTAGCACCTCTTACGTTAGTATGTGGTACTACAGGAACATCTTCATCGACAAATGAATATTCATACAAATATACTTGGTTGTTGCCGGCCTCCACGTGCAATTTAGTTGCCAAAAGCATTGGATATGCAAAAATAACATCCGAAAAGAAATTAACGTATTCTAAAATATTATCTTCACTGACAGGCTTATCTCCAAAGTAAAATCTTTTAATTTTATCTGCAACTTTTTCTCGTTCTTGTTCCGATTTAAATTTTAAATCAGCAGGCAGAAAATCAGAAAATTTATCATTCATTTTCTGCTTCCAAAATGGAAAATAATCGATACGTAACAGGCCTTCCATGTCAGCGAAACCATACAATACTGGTAACTTCTTGTAATTGCCTTTCTTCAATATAGTTACTGGAGATTCTGTCAAGAACGTTTCTTCTCCTATGTTACGCTCTACACATGGAGAAAACACGAACGTAGCATCCGTCCTATCAAAAAATGGATCTGAAGTCAACAATTCTAAAGGAGCTGTCTTATAGAACTCTCCAAGAGCGTATATATCATCCACGTTAGTAAAGTTAAGTTGTCTAGCAAATGTTTTGGCAATCTCTACAGGATCCCTTTGAATTGAAAATGCAGCGAGGTTTCCACCACTTTCCGGTACGACTCTGTGGAACAATCCTTCAGCAGACTTAGACAGCATTAACAGGTCTACTGATGCAGAACCTGCACTTTGTCCTATGATAGTGACGTCATCTGGGTTACCACCAAAGCTGGCGATGTTCTTTTGTACCCAACGCAGCAATGCTACTTGGTCTTTCATTCCAGCATTACCTGGCGCGTCTTCAGTGCCAAGACAAAGGAAGCCGTGGACACCCAGCCGATAGTTGAAGGTAACCACAATAATATCTTTTTTCTTCATTAAATGTGTGGCTTTAGATAATTCACCCCATCCTACAATGAAAGCACCTCCATGAACATTCACTATTACAGAAAGATTCTTTTTGTTTGTATTTGGCACGAAAACATTGGCAATCAGGCAATCTTCTTTTCGAACTAGGGTGCTTGTTTTGTAACCAGGTATTGGGACTTCTGGCTGAGGGCAGACTATTTGTTGGTCGATGGCATCATATGGTTGCAGCCATACTGGTGGGGGCAGAGGTGCCTGGAACAGAAGACCATATAAGCATGAGTCGAAATATAACACAATACATAAATTAAGATCAAATTATTTTAATCAAGAACGTTCAGTGTGTACTTTGTGATTTATATCGTTTATCTAACACTTGAGTTTGACAAGGACCCAGTAATCGACACATACTTATTGTGACTAGAAAATAAGACAGTAAAAAGAATTTTAAAATTTATTTACACTGTAATTATCGTCCTATAGACCTATACTACTCTTATTTAGTGAAAATGTCTGCGACTGCGTCATTTTTGTCTGAAAAATAAGATCAACTAAAGCTTCTTCTAAAACAAAAACGTTTTTAGTAAAATCGTTAAGGAAGAAAGTGTTTTTTATATCAAGGTTTATGATACAACCTGGTAACAGACCGACAGCGACAACTTAAAAAGAGGGTTCCTTAAAAAAAAGTTTAATAAAAATATAACACATCCAAATATAAACAGGGTGCTTACCTTGAACTTGTCAACACCGACGGGTGCTGTGGCATAAGGTATATTATAGAATGTGTATATGTCCTCTGTAGGGTGCTTGCGCCCGCGCACAATCCCTTGCGAAGTTTTCACTTCCCGCCACTCGTCGTCCGCCAACGCGCCTGTCGCGCACAACAGTAACACACACGTCCGCCACTGCATGGCTGCATCTACTGACTGAGTTACGACTGAGCGATATGTCTTTGAGTATTAATTGTAAGAGTTGATATGAAGGGGCGACCGAATTTTGTTATAATCTTTAAAATTATAACAATATTTTCGGAGATAGGAATGATATTTAATCAGACTATGACTCTGGATCGATAAGTGGAGTCATTGTTCAAGTCTGCGACCAGCAGGTGTGTCAATGTAATAGACATAAAATTTATTATTTATTATGCATCCTCTCGTCGCATTCCAAGCAAAGAAAATATTTTTTTGATCTTCCCGCTCAAAAAACAGGAGATTGCATAAACTGCGGAAACGTAAAACTGTATTATTGGTTTAATGATAGACATTATTGAAGTCCTCTGATGCTCAATTTGGCATTTCCTATAGCCCAGACGTAGGATTACCTGATAACACTAAAAATAATGATAATTGAGACAACCGTCAATAACTGTTTTGGTTAATTGCTTCGGCGTTAACATGTTTCCAAATGATGTAAATAATACTTTATGAATACACAAACGATTGACCCTTGATTCGCAAGGGTATTCAACTGTTTCGCTTAAAAATTTTCTTTCTTCTTTTGAAAGAAAACAACATCAAATTGGCAGAATTGGTGCAAGCGTTTTTAAGTTACACGCATTTTGCGATTCATTTTTGTTTATATATAGGTTAAAAACCTTTGTAGCATAAATTTTCGAGACTGCAATAGTCCAACTTACATCGCTGCGGTATCTGCCTCTGCCTCTGTTATGTCGTTGTGAATATATACGGTTCTTATAAGGTTTATTGATGTGTGATGTTTCTAGGATTAAATCGAACTAATAGTTCGAACTGAACAAATATTTTTGTGCTGGATAGGCTATTTACTAAAGAAGTCTTCATTACGCGGTAGTATCAAGCTACTGCTAAAACGACGCAGCGGGCAAAAGCACGCAGGAGTAGTTAGTGACTTAGAATTCCGAAGTCTGCCACATAACCCAAAGTATCAGCAAGCTGAAGAGGCAATGGGTTGGTCATTTCTGCAGAAAGATCGATAGGCGTTGGAGCAAATGTACAATCCTTCGGTAGTCTTTACAAGTTGTCGTAGCGTCTCCTGTTCGCGGGTCCGACGACTTTAGAATGGCCGAAGAAGTTGGGGTAGATGTGGAAAATCGAAGAGTTAGTACCATGACACATCATTGAAGAGGTGTATATGGAGAATAACCAGAAGATGATGAAATTCAATATCAAAAAAAAATAGGTGGACTCACAAACTTTGGAATGACTTGATATTTTTATTTTGTTTTGGTCAGTCATCGTGAGTCCTAATTTAATCGATTGATCAATGTGATTTGCATTTTCCTGTTAATTACGCATTTTTTTTTTAAATACGCATATATTTTTTGTGCCCGAGACATTTTGTAGACCTGACCTTTACCGACCAAAAACCCCCTGTTCCTTCTCCTGCTCTGGGCCGAGGTCGCGGTGCCTCATTGCGCTTACCCCGCAACCCCTGACTCACCATAAAGCGGTCATCTCTTGGTTCTGTGCATCGATCTCTTCCCGAACCGGGTCTAATAGCCGCTGAGACACGTAAATTTGCAAATAACCCTCTTTAAGTAGTGCTTTAATCACTTTCTCACTCCGTATCAAACAGTGGTATTCAATGTAAAAAGAAAGACTAAATTTTGTTTTTATAATAACTATCGTGAGACATACTAAATTAACTAAAAATCGCGGGTTACTCACGTGTATATATTGAGAAAAGCCTGCGCGACGTCGCTGCGTCCGCGCACGCTGCTCATGAGGAAGAACCCCTCTGTGGTTCGAAACTAGTAGAGCTTTTCTCAATATATACACATAATCTCTTCGGTTCTCGATATATACACATAATCATAATCATAATTCTTTATTGCATCCATAATGTAAGATAAGATGGTAATAATATGTATATATACACGTAAGTAACCCGCGATTTTTAGTTAATAAAGACTAAATGATTTAATTTGCAGAAAATATCCAAAAGTCTTTCAAATATCCTGATCCTGAGATCAGCGCCATTTGTTATACAATTTTAGAATAATCCATAATAATCATTATTTTATTTTTTTCCTTCTTCATTGAAGTAGAAAAATCTTAAGTGATGTTTTTTTGCAAAATAATTTAGTTGCAATAATATCTGAGAAAGTCTTAAGTCTCAATAATAAATATATTACAGTCATATTATGTTTTATCAAACAAAATTTGCACTTATCAAATTTCCAAAGGGCTTATCGAAAATCTATATCTACTAGTGATGTAACCAAAATTTTTTCAGCTGTAATCGAATATTCGATTGACGATTTTATCGATACAACTCAATGTTCTACAGCTGTGCTTTTGATAATTCTTCAGTCAGTAATCTCATTTTTTTTGACGTTCATTTTCGCGTGCTGATCACAGAAAACTGGATTTCTGTAAGGTGTATTTTAAATCAACCAAAATAATTTTATATTAATGTATGTATATGTGACAAAATGTTTTCTGTTTTTGAACCTAAACGGTTTATGGAAACACGAATCGACTAATTTATAAAGTAACAAAAAATGATAAAAAGCCTTAGTTTTTTTTCTGAAAAATTTTGTTATGTGATCGGTTGGCAAACGATCAAACGGATTACCTGATGATAATGTTTAATATTTATTTTGTTTCCTCGGTCGATAACAAATATTATATTTTTCAATGCATTGAAATAATTACTAATAATAAAACTTTCGTTTAGAGGAATAATAAATGTGAATGTGATTTTAAGGAATAAGTTAACAAATCCCTATCTCACACAAATATGTTGGAAAACCATTTAGCATTGACCTTCAGAAGAAAGTGTTAAGTTTAACTAGTTAAAAAACACATTGCTATGTCGATTACAAATACCTTATTGGATACATATTTACATCACTATAACCCAAATTCCGGCCATCATAATACCTGTGGCAAACTCACGTACCTAACGTCTAAAATAAAGCAGAAGATAAGATTTTTTAAATGAAACAAATATAATAAACTATGTGGCAGATACTAATATTGCTGAGTGCTGTAACGTTAAGTTATTGTGATGATAGTGAGTGGAGACAAGTGCGCACTGCACAAGGAGATGTGCGTGGACGCAAAGATCCTGCCGGTGGACTCTACGCATTTCTAAATATTCCATATGCTACAGTGCCTGTTGGTGCTAATAGATTTAAGGTAAGGATTTCTCAAGGTATAAAATATATAGAATTTGTTGAAGGTGTAATAAGTCAGCGGACGAACCGGCGTTATATCGAAGAATCACAAGTGCGGTCCCACCTTTTGGGGATGAGAGATTGAGGAATCTAGGGATTGAGGAATGAAGATAGGGGGAGAAAGGTTGAGCCTCCAACAACCTCACTCACACATCGAAATATACACACAAGTTTTTTTGTGAGGATGTGGTATCACTCCGATCAAAACGGCCTAGTCGTGTCGAAGCATGGCTCTCCACACTTAAACTGTGATATTTTTTTCTGATGGCATAATTTGTCTTGCTTAACATTATTCTAATGTTCGTTTATGTTATTTTCCAGGCACCTCTCCCTGCACCAGTATGGCTGGAACCACTGGAAGCCGTCGACAAAGGCATCATATGTATGCAACCTCCTTCGCCATTCTTCGACGCTAGTTCCAAAGTAATGCAAGAAGATTGTCTCATAGCTAATGTTTATGTTCCCGACACAGACGATAAAAACCTACCTGTAATAGTGTACATTCATGGAGGTGCATTCGAAATAGGCTTTGGTAACATGATGACACCTAAGCACCTAGTTAAGAACAAGAAGGTTATTGTAGTCAATTTCAATTATCGTCTGGGAGTACATGGATTCCTATGTTTGGGAACTAAGGATGCTCCAGGAAATGCTGGACTGAAGGACCAACTTGCGTTACTCCAATGGGTAAAGAAAAACATTGCTAATTTTGGTGGTAACCCTGATGATGTTACTATAGCAGGCTATAGCGCTGGCTCAGTCTCAGTTGACTTGTTGATGCTTTCAAAGTCAGCAAAAGGACTTTTTCACAAAGTTATACTAGAGAGTGGAGTAGGTGTGGGTTTTATAGCAATTCAAAGAAATCCAATAGAAAACGCTAAAACCTATGCAAAGATGTTAAACTTTACCAAAGTTAATGACTTTTATTTAATGCAAGAATTTTACAAAAGCACTCCACTGAAATCTGTGTTTGTAAGTACATTTTTAGGTAGAAAAGATTCTACTGTCCTGTTTTCACCTTGTATAGAAAGGAAAGAGGACAATCAGGCCTTCTTAGATGACTCGCCGTACAATATAATCAAGAGTGGTCAATATAGTAAAATTCCTATGCTTATTGGCATTAGCAATATGGAAGGATCATTGCAAATGCATCATGTGGGAATATGGAAAGATTCTATGAATGCTAAATTCAGTGATTTCTTGCCATCTGATTTAGTATTTCAGAATAGTGATGAAGGAGAGATTATAAGCAAAAAAATTAAAGAATTTTATTTTGGCGAAACACCAGTGGGGGAAGAAACAATACTAACCTACCTTGATTATTTCGGTGATATTATGTTTGGTTATTCTACTTTGAGAGCTATTAAATTACACTTGGAAGCTGGACACAAACAAATATATTTGTACGAATTTAGTTTCGTGGATGACAGTGTGCCTGTCATACCTAACACAAATGAACGTCGTGCGCAACATTGCTCTCAAACAATGGCAGTACTCGAAGGACCTGTAGATGAAGAAACCCTATCTGAAGAGTACAGAAACTTAAAATCCACTATACGAGAGATGTGGTCAAACTTCGCTATACACGGGTAAATACAATCTGTATTGTGTGTTCAATTTTTTTTAGTCTTGAAATTGATTACTATTACCTTTTTTTAAATGCGTATCGCCTTTAAATCTTTTAAGATTTAAAAATTCAGTTCCCTTCTGTGTAATATTTCAGAACTCCTGTGCCAGAAGATTCATCTCTGCCCATCTGGCCCACGACAAATGCAGATGGGAGTCCATACATGTCCATAGGTAAATCAGTGGAAACAAAAGAAATGTTTTTGGGGGAACGTGGAAAGTTCTGGAATGAAATTTACGAAAAATACTACAGTGCACCAGTGGCGCCTCCTCCACCAGAAGCTCATCACTCTGAGCTGTAATTTTAATGAAATATTTAATATATTTTGCATAACTCCATTTTTAATAAAGATTTTTTAATACGAGCTTTATTCTAGTTATTTGTAAAACATTTAGTAGGTATGTATCTTCAATTTTAAAATCTTATACATAGGGTACAGAACCAGATTCAAGAATATTTAATTATTATGTATTGATAAAAAATGTAAAATACCTATAGTTAACTTGAGCTTGCTAAATGTTTCGTTATAATTCAGTTCTTCATAGTACAACACACACACAAAGCATAAGTACACAATTATTAGATATTATCATTACACTATTCTCACTGAATAATATCACGTCACGCCATGTCATCAGTGATTAATGTCTAATCACTACACTTGCTCAATGCGTCGTGGTGATGTTGAACGTATGATGATTTTCCTTCTCCGTTTAACAGTTGTGTCCAAATATTCTTACGTAGTACATACAACTCAGAATATGCCACATTTATACTAGCCTGCTTTTGAATCTACCTCATACTTGAGAGGCCGATGTCTGAATCTTTGGACCACCACGACAACAACGAGAGTACTTGACTTATGCAAATATAAATTAAAATCAATGAAGAAACACCATGCAAAAATAGAAAAAAAAAATCTTAATAATTTTAAAAATTGCTTGAGTATCCACGAACGAGGTTCATAAACAAGTCGTGCTGTGGCTAATGTCTTACTAGCCAATCAATATCACTTAAATTCGTGTCTATAGTTATCAAACAAAAATTTAAGATATTTGTAAGTAGGGAGAGTTCAATCACTTAATATACTCATTTAACAGTTATAGCTCTGTACGTTCCTGCTTCGGTGGTGGCACTGGAGCTTTGTAGTACTTTTCATAAATAGCATCCCATAATTGTGCTCTTTTCCCCAGAAATGATCCATCTCCTAACTTAATTGTTTTTCCAAGAGACATAAAAGGACTTCCATCTGCACCTGCTACCGGCCACACTGGCAAGGATGATCCTTGTGGTACAGGTGACCTGGAACGTTCATTTTAAACATGTTAGGTCGACGAGTTAGTTAGAAATCCCATAAACATGAATATTTTAACATTACAGCTTATATGTATGTAAGGTTTTATATCAACGCCAGATTTCAAAATAAAATGTAAATATTTCTTACCCGTATACTACGAAGTTGTACCAGATATCTCTAACAGTCGATTTCATTTCTTTGTACTCTTCCGACAATTTGCTCTCATCTGCCGATACGAAAGGTATTCCATCGAGTAATGCTGCTGTCTGAGCACAATGTCCAGCTCCGCGCACGTTAGTATGAGGGATAACTGGAGTACTGTCGTCCACGAAGGAATACTCATATAAATATATTTGGTCGTGCCCGGCTTCAACGTGTAGTTTTACAGATCTCCATGTAGCAAAATTAAGGATTATGTCTCCGAAATAATCAACATAAGACAGTATTGTACTATCGCCTACTGGCTGATCTCCGAAATAAAATTCTTTAACTTTTTTACTTACTTCCTCTTTTTCTTCCTTACTTGGAAATTGTAAATCTCCTGGCAAAAAATCTGAAAATTTTTCGTTCATAATATCTTTCCACAAATCAAAATTATGCAGTTGACATGTTCCTTCCATGTTGCCGACGCCAATTAAAACAGGAACTTTTTTATATTTACCCTTCTTAATAATGTTGACTGGATAATCTTTAAAAATAGATTGACCATCTATATCGTTTTCTACACATGGTGCAAATAAAAGAGTTGCATCTTGCCTATTACCAAATGTACTCACTATAATAGATTCCAGAGAAGAGCTCTTATAAAACGCTTCTAAAGCCTTAAAGTCATCTACATCAGTAAAGTTTAGCATTTTGGCGTAAATTTTTGCATTTTGAAGTGGATCTAACTGAAAAGCCGCAGTTGTTACATCGGCACCACTTTCTGGTATGACTTTGGTGAAAAGTCCTTCTGCTGACTTTGTCAGAGCCAACAAGTGCGTAGACATGCTACCAGCACTACCACCTGCTACAGTAACATCATCAGGGTTGCCACCAAAATTAGCAATATTTCGCTTCACCCAGCGAAGCAGAGCCACTTGGTCCTTCAGACCAGCGTTGCCTGGAGCAGTTTTTGAGCCTAAACATAGGAATCCATGTACCCCAAGACGGTAATTGAAATTAACTACAATTATTTTCTTAGTTCTGACGAAGTTTTTAGGTGATATCATATCACCATATCCAATTTCAAATCCACCTCCATGTATAATTACTAGCACGGGAAGGTTCTTTTCTTCAGTGTCAGGGACAAAAATATTCGCAAAGAGACAATCTTCTTGCATATTTGCAAAACTTATGTCCATAAATGGGGTTACAGGCTGCAGGCATACTATCTTCTTGTCAACTGCATCAAGTGGTTCTACCCAGACCGGCCCTGGCAGGGGAGCCTGAAATACGTGAAAAAGTAATAAGTTTCGGTATCTTTTCAATTTTAAAGATATAAAAATCACTACATAGTATAAAACAAAGTCGCTTTTTCTGTTCCTATAAAGATGAGAGTCATTGTAAAGGAAGGTTTATATGTATAATAACATCCAATAAATTGTGGAGAAATTGAGTATCATAAAATGTAGTTGATTTCTCCTCGCTTACATGGATTACAAAAAAACATCAAATAGGTTCTGTTCTAAATAAAATCATATATGACAGACTGATAGTGATTTGATTATCGTCTGCAAAACAAGATATTTATTATTTTTATCGGGGAAATGCAAGCATTGCTGTCACTACATATGTACGTTATGTGTATGTAGGTGTGATATGATAGCGAAAATAATATAAAATCAAATTTAGTTTCTTTTTGATTTTAATTTCAATGATGCAGCATATGGGAATGATAACGTACACATAGTGGAATAAACGTAAATATATTTATAATTATTATACTACAAAAGTCTTCAATAAAAACAAGCCATTATTGACATTTTCCTTATTAGTTCAATTTGAACTTGATTGGCTAAACCTTATTGTACAATTAATTTAGAAACAGAATTGTATAAAAATATTTGTACCTTATACTTATCAGGTCCTACGGGTACTGTGGCATACGGTATATTGTAAAAGCTGTACAGTCCCCCATCGGGGTCTTTGCGCCCGCGCACATCACCCTGCGCGGTGTGCACTTGTCTCCATTCACTCGCATCACACGTTTTCAGTAATACCACTAATATAACAATAAATGCCGTGCGCATACTTGGATTATATTATATTATCAGATTGTAAAATATTGATTGATAATTATAGCTTACAACTTATCGCGGTCTGTCTCACCTAAACACTGAGGTAAGGTCAACATAATGACAATCCCCGCTCGTCCCACTACCTCGTTCGTTTCCCGCGCTCATCCGATTCCGTGGCTCTCATTGGTCAACGTTGCATATGACGTCACGACGACTTACCGCCATTATCATGCCCTCGCGACTTCGGCTAACAGGTTGTGGTTTTTTAACTCTAATGTTTTTTTTAGTATTTAATGATGCCTCACGGATTAGTACTTTATGAAATGCTTTGGCTTATTGGTCCATAAATATTATTTAAAAGCGAGCAAATGGAATAAACCCTTTTTTACAATTATTTGGTTCCTACTTAATAGTTACACAATACAGACATATTCAATGTAGAGAATACCTAAATTACCTCTAGTTTTTTTTGTTTATTCTTTACGGACTCACGGCCTTCATAAAATTTATAGTTATAATGTATTCAGTATTACTAAAGTCTATGTTACGTATCTAATAAGGAATCAACATTAAAACTGAAAACCTTTGCCTGACATCTGTTTTTTTCAACCATACCTAAAACATAGGTAATTTTATATACATCGTCATAAAAATAGTGGCAATATAAAAATAATCTTTTAATTATATTTTCCAGTTTAAACACTACGTTGGATGATTGTGCATAAAAATAAAGACAAGAAAATAAGTTATCTACCTTTATTATTTATTAAGTCTCATCGATCAATAAAGTATTGATTAAAAACATAATAAAGATTAATATCATTGCTCCGTTTTATGACCATTTTGCTCTACTGTGGGTGGGTAGATAAAATCCGTTTTTTAATATTTATCAAATCGATAAGTGTGCGCACGTTCGCACTTATCAGTGAATTACTTGTTATTGATCTTAGTAATTAAAAAATAATCTCAACTTGGCGAGTACACATACATCGTTAATTTGAAATAAAACTATCAATATCTGTATTTAAATCTTATATATTATCTATGTTGTCAGCCCATGAAACAATGTATGGACTTTATAAAGGTATAATTCGTGTAATGTCCCATAAATTTATTTTAGTTTTCACCCTAATCGGCTGGAGTTTTTGCCATTTGGCTTCTGCACAAATCGATTTTATCACTACAGTCAACGGCAAATAATAAAACTTAAGCCAACTCCGTTACACACACAGTTTTAATATTACAGTGCCCAAGTAATTATAAATGTACGCGAACCCAGTAACGCTAGACCTTTATCAATTCCATAATTCTACGTTAATTCCACACCTCCATACAAAGCGTAGAATCCACAGGACCCATCGACTTTTTCTTTTGTAGCACGAGGACATCTATTAGGAAAACCAAAAGACCGTAGTCGTCTCATGAATAGTAATAGAAATGGCTGACAAAATAACCTACTTTTAACCTAAACTACAAATAATGCTTAGTGTCTATTCAAAAGAAATGATAAATAAGTTGCTACAAATATCGTAACATTTGAGATTATCAATGATGTGGCGTCGCCAGGACTAGGCGCTACAGGATCCTTGTCAACAATAGGCCCTCTGTAATGTTCTTTGTAAATTTCATCCCAGAAAGCTGCTCTCTCCGCAATAGGACTGCTATCCCTCAGCACTATGTCTCGACCCAAAGACATATATGGAGATCTTTGTACGCTTGCAGGTGGCCATTGCAGGTCTAAATCTCTAGTTAAGGGTGCACTGAAACAAAAATGTTGTCTGAAACGTACTGCCAGTAACTAGAATATGTTACTCTGGGAGCTAGAACTGGAACCAAGTTAATGTTAATGGGAATATTGATGTTTTGATTACTACTAGACGTTATTGGCATTAATATTAATTCAATGTTGTAAGTGCCTATACGTATAAAATTTTAGTGTGTAACTTATTTATATGAATAGGTGAATTATCTTACCCAGTCAAAACGAAATTAATCCAATTGTTTCTAACAATCTGTTTCATCTGCTTATACTCTTCCGTTCGGTTGGTAACATCTTCATCCATAACTGCTATATACTGAAAGCAATGATCAGCACCAACTACTTCTGTATGTGGGAAACTGGGAGTGTCTTCATCCACAAACGAATATTCAAATAGATATATTGTATCATCGAGAGCTTCTATACGCGTTGACAAAGCTTTTAACATTGGATATGCAAATAAAACGTCGGTATTGTAATTTATAAAAGACACAATACTGTGATCACCAACAGTATCATCACCAAAATAAAACTTTTTAACCTTCTCGGCAACTTGTTCTTTAACATCTTTGCTATCAAAATGTAATTCTGTTGGTAAAAAATCTGAGAATTTCTCATTCATCCGGTCTTTCCAAGCATCAAAAACTGAAAGTCTTAGAGCACCATCCTTGTCAGTAAATCCAAACATCAAAGGTATCTTTGTGTAATTTCCTGTTTTCATAATATCCATAGGAACATCTGATACGATTCTTTCTTGTCCAATATCTTTTTCTACACATGGTCCAAATCTCACTGTAACTCCTTCATTATTTACTATAGCATCAAGACGAGAGATCAATTGCTCAAATGAAACAGTTTTATAAAATTCTTCCAAGTTGTTTAAATCTTCAACATCGTCAAAATTCAGTACTTGAGCAAAGTTTTTCGCATTTTGTATTGGATCGATTTGTGCTCCAACACCGCCAATACTGACGCCACTTTCCATGATAGCTTTCTTGAATAATCCTTTTGTAGCACTGGAAAGAGTAAGGAAATCAACCGCACCAGATCCGGCACTGCAGGCGGCTAGAGTCACATCATCAGGGTTTCCACCGAAACTGGCAATATTTGTGTTTACCCAACGCAGGAGCGCTACCATATCCTTCAGTCCCGCATTACCAGGGGCAAATTCAGTACCAAGACATAGGAAGCCATGAACACCTAATCTGTAGTTAAATGTAACCACTATTAATTTCTTGGTTTTTACTAAAGCGTTAAATTCTGAAAGCGTTCCGAAACCAGTTTGATAACCTCCGCCGTGGACGTTTACTAACACGGGTAGATTAGTCTCTTCAGTATCAGGAACATACACATTGGCCACTAAGCAGTCTTCTTGGATATTCAGTGATTCTGGCCAAGATTGTGGACAGATTATCTTACGATCTTCAGCTATAAACGGGGTCAACCATACTGGTGGAGGAAGGGGAGCCTGCGGGTGAGAACAAAAATCTTTAAACACTTATCTTTTGATATTACAATTGAAAAGAAAGGGTTTAATTTACCTTGTATCTATTAGAACCCGTGGGTGCAGTGGCATAAGGAATGTTGTAGAACGCGTAAACACCGCCTTCAGGGACCATACGGCCGCGCACTTCTCCCTGGGTAATATTCACGTGACGCCAAGCGTCATCTGTATACACCAGTTTCGTATGTACACAAATTATAAGCGCTAGACACTTCCACATGTTGTAAAGTCTTTGAGACAAATAATAAATCAATCCGCTTTAATGAAGTATCTTGTTTTTATATAATAGGAGTTCTACGTAATCCGATAACCATATAAAAGATAGTGTCTATTCAATGATGAGTAATGAATTCAATCTGATCACTATCACTCATTTTAATCTCTATAAATACACCACCATCGAAATAGATATGTAATAACGGGTGTCCCAAATTAACACTTATCTTATTATCGTATAAAAAATGTTCATTTTATATGAGGTACCTATTAAATTAGCTTTTTTTATTATAGTTATCACCCATGCAATGAATGCATCTTTAACTATGCATTGGGAATGGCAATTATGCTCATACCATTTTGTGAGAAACTGTGATGAATTAATTACACCTACATTAGACCACCAAAATATTGTCCATCACTTTTCTAGCGGTAAGTTTTCGTTAAGGGCATTGTTTAGATGCTGAACACCAGGATCCAACCAACTTGCTGATTGCCTAAAACTGTCGAACCGTCTTCGATCTACATCTACATCTACGTTGTCGAACTAATTTCTCGTCACAAGTAACTATGCGGTTCAGAATTCCTTCATTAATAGGCCTGCTCAGCAGTAGAAAGCACGTGTCGACACTTATGTCGCGCTACCAATTATTGAGTTCGTAAATGGACCAATATTGTTTTACTGATAACGTCAAAAACTGATGACGATTCCGCCGTGAATGGACTACACTTTGTACTCTTTATTTTTACCAACCGCACTAAATTCACTTCTACGAAATGTTCATGTTTAAATTGGTTCTTCTGATTTGCCAAAAATTAAGGTACTCCACAATAATTTTCTTATCGTTATACTTAGTTAATTTCTGCTGTCTGCAATCTCAAAACAAGTTATATAAAGATAGCATGAATTTACAAGCTTGGTGTGATAAAAATTATATGGAATATCAAACCGGTTGTGTATCAATTTTCAAAGCGCTTTTTGGGTTCCGATCCGATTATACCTACCATTTTTTTCTTTAAAATATTCCCAAAATACGATAACCCAAAGTTGTAAAAATCCCAGCAGTATAAAAAAAACATTTTCTCATTACAAATCTTGTCAGAAAACTTTATGCTTGTCGCTGGTTACATTTACGACTTAGGTAAGGCCAGCTACAGATTTCCATTCTTACATCCTGTATAAGCTTAAAAAGTCACTATCGTAGTTACGCATTATTTTTGGTCATTCATAATTGTTGATTATACTTATGCTATATAAATTAACGGCGGTATCTATAGTTTTTAAATAAAATCAAAATAAAAAAATCTTAGAAATCAATTATATTAAAAAAAATTGATTTCTAACGACTACACCAGTTGATGTTTAAATTGACAATTATATTTTCAAGTTTGAAACCTTATTTCTAATGGGTTAAATCATTTTTTTTTTGTTGATAGTTCGAATTTCAAATTAATTTTATTTTAGAAACATGGAATTCGATGTTTAGGTGCCAATACTTAACCTTTTAACAGATAATACAATTTTTAGACACATTTTTTTTAAATTGTGTAGAAATTCGTTGAAGTGATAAACAATTTTATCAATAAGCGGCTAATGCGTTAGCAAAAATGCATTAATTGCATGGGTGAGTGTTTTGTCATAACTTACGAGTAAAAATAAAAAAATCGTTTCGGTCTTGAAACACGGTAATTTCATAGTACCTTATATTGGGGGTCTTGAAATATGAAATAACTAATACCATCAAATTGATTCACCCCGATTAATATACGCTAGAGCGTCTTGTATTTTTTTTGCACCACCTTCACCCACACGCTATATGATGTACTATTTTTGGATGCACCCCACTCTTAATTAATAATTTAATGGGTAATGAATAAATTCAAAGTATATATTTAAATAAATAAAAAACTAGGGTAAAACAAAAAAATGTTTATTTTACGAATACAACCACGACTTCGATAGACAATCTGACAACAAATCCAATCTTTCCCTGATCAATAAAATACAAAATAAAAAATAAATTACTAATACATAAAATACCAAATATATCCATTATAATGGATTGCAAAAATAACCGTTTTTATTTATCTAGAACCTAATTTACATTACAGATGATAGTATAAAATAAAAAAACATTTCGCACATAAATACCTATAGTACTTAGCTGATACGAAACATATACTTTCTAACTCTCCGGTATCAAACACAAGGATTAAATTAATAATTGATATACAATATATTCGAAGCACTAAATAGTACTAAGATAAAAATAATATTGAAACAACTGCCATCAAAATAACTTTTGAGATCATTATAGAGGAAGCAGCGCCAGTATAACTATCAGGCACTAATGGACCTCGGTAGTGTTCCTCGTAGATGGAGTCCCAGAAAGCTGCTCGGTCTCCCAAAATATCATCTCTTAGCTCTATGACAGGACCTAAAGACATGTAAGGAGACCTCTCTGCGTTCGTCGGCTGCCATACAGGGAAACGTGCATCGTTCGATGTTGGAGCACTAAAAACAATATTTTGGTTGAAACTCGATAAAATTTATTAAGAAAATACATACTATAAGTGATTTTAAAAAGAGGAGGAAATTATCTTACCCAGTCAAAACGAAATTAAGCGTGTACTCTCTAGCTAGCTGCACCATCCGCTTGTATGCATCTGTTCTTCCAGAAAGGTCCTGATCACCAACTGTTCTTGATTGGAAGCAATGTTGAGCCCCACGAACATTAGTATGAGGAAAACTTGGTGAATCTTCGTCCACAAACGAGTACTCATACAGATAAATCGTGTCACCAAGCGCTTCAACCCGAGCTGACAATGATTTTAACATTGGATATGCAAATAACACATCGGTAAAATATAAAATAAACGCCACTACGTTTTCGTGACTCACATCGCTATCTCCAAAATAAAAGTTTTTGACTCTCTGGGCAACCTGTTCTTTCACTTCGTCGTCATCAAAATACAATTCTGATGGTAAGAAATCTGAAAACTTCTCATTCATCTGATCTTTCCAAGTATCGAAGTAAGGAAGTCTCATTGCGCCTTCCATGTTAGTAAATCCATATAAAAGAGGGACCTTAGTATAATTACCACGCTTGATAACGTTCATCGGTGCGTCTGTGATAACTCTCTCCTGGCCAATATCTCTTTCCACGCATGGAGCAAATCGAACGGCAGTATCCTTGTTGTCTACTATTTCATCAACACGTGAAGTCAATAATTCAAACGGAGCAGTTCTATAAAATTCTTCTAAACTTTCTAAATCATCGATATTATCAAAATTGAGTACTTTAGCGTAATTCTTTAGCATTTTGGATGGGATCAATTACTACACCGACAGCTCCTGTGCTACTGCCACTCTCCATGATGGCTTTCTGGAATAGACCTTTTGTAGCACTAGAAAGTGTTAAGGCGTCTACTGAACCTAAACCTGCACTGCAGGCAATTAACGTCACGTCATCTGGATTGCCTCCAAATCTGGCAATATTGGAGTTCAACCAACGTAATAATGCTATCTGATCCTTAATACCTGCATTGCCAGGAGCACCTTCAGTACCAAGACATAGAAAGCCATGGACACCTATTCTATAATTAAATGAAACTGCTATTAATTTCTTCGTTTGCACTAATTCTTTATACTGCGCAGATAACCCGTGGCCATTCTGAAAAGCTCCTCCATGGATAAACACCAAGACGGATAGATTGGTGTCTGTGGTATCGGGGACGAACAGGTTGACAACCAGGCAATCTTCCTGCGTGTGCTCTAGTACGTTGGGCTGCGGGCAGCGGATGTTTCTGTTTACAGCATCGAGCGGTGACATCCAAACCGGTGGAGGAAGGGGTGCCTGTATTAAATTGTAAATAGTTAAAATTATGCTATAGGAATTCTTTTAAAATCAGTTGATGTCTCAAAAAAGTTGAATGAACTTTTTCTTAAATGTTTATAATAAAGCATAGAATATAATACTGTTTTGGAATATACCTTAAATCTATCAATCCCCGTTGGTGCAGTAGCATAAGGAATATTGTAGAATATATAGAGACCTCCGTTTGGGTCCATGCGACCTCTCACAGGCGCCTGAGTTATATTTACCAACCTCCACTCTTCTTGGCTATATACCATTACAATAAACAAACAAAATATAATTTTTGACGTCCACATCTTTACCAAGTGCAATAGTAAATGCAGACTAATAGAACATATTTGTCACTTTATTGATTAAGTACCTATACCTATCAAATAAGTTATCTGTGAAGATAATTCCGGAATTATCATATTAGAGATCTGTCATGAAAATACTTTCGTATAATCGTTGTTTTAAGGAGATGATGATTTTCCAGGCTGTTTATTCTTATGGAGAGAGCGAAAAGACACGAACATTTTGGATATTGCATTTTTTTTGTGTTTGATATATCGAATTTAATGAACAATTTTCTAATCCTATTACCTACTACAACGAATTAAAGAATTCCTATTTACTATAAAGTAAACTAAAATATTTACACTATCATTAACTTATTTCATGATATAATTAATTGAAGTACATGTTTAAATAAGTAGCTATTTGACACAACAAACGTTATTCCATAACAAAATCTCGTACAAAAAGTAAACTATCGATAGTGCAGTCCGAAAAAAGTATTGAAATTAGCTAGCTTCCAAAGTACCCAGTTAGTGATAATGACACAAAGAAGATGTTAAGGGAAATAAACTTTCGTAAGAGACAAAAACTGTTGGCAGGCCAAATTACGCTTACAGACTTAAATATCCATTGCTCATTTTTGGAAGTACCACTTTTTATTGAGGGAGAAGGGGTAATACTCAAATTACTTCTGTCGCCCAGGTGTTGCGTCAGTGTCAGACTCTTACTGATTTAAAACACTCCGTTACTTCCCTGCTTTAGGCCGAAGCCGTGGTACCTTATTCCGCTAGCCCCGCAACCCTGGCTGAACATCGGTCCTGTGGTGGTCCATTAACTCTTGCTCGGGTCTGGTCCTGGTCAGTCGACGAGCTTTGCTTGCCATTCGTAGACCCGCTCCTGCGGTGGCAGACAATATTGTGAATTCCAACTACATATTAATTGAATGTTGTCGACCGAATCTTTCTCTTTTCTTCCATTTTAATATTCTATTCTTGGCTTTGTCTTGATTTAACTATAAACAGAACCCTAACTAGTCTTACAGTAATTTCTTGAGATAAGATATCTACAACTAGGAACCAATGGATGATTTATCTTCAAAATTTGCAACTAATGTTCGCTTTCCGATTTTTATTTATTTTATTCGAAGCCTGTCTTTCTTAAAGCAGTATTATCTCACATGTTAGAAAATTAATAAAACAAAAAATCGTCGTGTCTCTTGGTCTGTCGGTTCGAACCAGAAAAGCTCAAACATTTTCGTGCATTTAATTAGAAAATATACTGTATGTGTATCAATGGCAAAGTGCACTGATGGCCACATGGAAATTATCGAAAAAGGCCAGTGGCAGTGACCCATGCGAACTGATGCAAGAATGTGATGGTAGCCAAAATAGTTAATTAGGAACGTACAAGTTGTCGCCTGGCCTGTAATTTCCTACTTACCACTAGTGCTTACTTATATCAAGTATGTTTTAGTGTTCAAAAAATAAAATCGTTTAAATTTTAATTTGACCTTACAGGAACTTAAAAGTGTCAGTCTGTCGATCAGTCCTCTAAGTGAAGTCTAACTAAAACTACGTGAACTAAAACTGCTCATTTTTAAAAGAGAAACTCCATGGTTACTCTTTTTCAATCAATTTGACATAAAGTGCAAAACTAATATTTATTCAACGTAACTTAGCTTCAAACTCCTAGTCTCTCACTGAGTGATCTAATTCATTTAAAAAAGGAAAAAGTATTTCAGTATCCTCTTATTTTACATCAGGTTATATTGGTGCAGGAGATAAATATAATCTTTCATCTTCCCTTCAAAGCCTACTGTTGCGATATCACTTATCAGCAAAAGAATAGCTCCATCATCATTCAATAGGTACATCACTTTCTTCAACGGTAGTGTAAAAAAGCCTGTTGATGTCGACCTTACGCTTTAAGTTTTGTTAAATACAAGAATAATGATACCTTCTTAAAACTCGTCAATATATATATATTTTTTTTTCATTATCATCTTCGTGTTGAGGGATTATTGACGCCATTAAAATCGCGTGAAACCTTAGTCCTAATCAAATCAAATGATTTCCCAAAATAATTAATTTATAATGGGATTTTTAATTCGTTCTTACGTATACAACATATCAATTAATTATGTTACGACATCTATAAGATTATGATTTATGAACATATTTTGTTGTTGATAATAGGGAAATTATCGTGTGACTTCGTAATAGCCATTCAATAAAGTTGCTATCAAGATACAAATACTTTTGATATGAAGCACTTAAAAATCTGCGCAAAACGTGGCGCATATTTTGCTTATTATATATTAAGTCCTATTGTAGTAAAGTTAACCTTTTTAATTAGCAGGGTGAATACCAGACTAGTGTCCAAAATCATTCTTGCAGCGCTTGACCGGCTAGGTTGAGCTGCTTGACTAAAGTTGATACTTACCTATGTTTGATAAATTAAAGGATTTAAATAAAAATACAAATGTTATTTTTTATATTTTGACGTGTTAGTGCCCTCCATAAACATCAGGGGCAAGTAAGAAAAAAAAATCTGATCAACTACTAGCTGTTTCTGTGTATTAATCAGTAGTGTGGAGCCGAAAACATTTTGCCAAGCATCTTCAATATAATCTGGCAGCAGAACATGTATATGGGGGAAAGTAAGGGTTGTACCACTAACATTCGTTTGGATATTTTATATTTTCCATGTTCAAAATAAAAATGAAAGAATGCCGTAATTCTAACTACTCCTAACTCCTTCTAGACCATCACCACACCTTTAGAATTGTTTTTTCGGATAGGGGTTCTCTGTAAAGAAAATCAAATGTTAATTGACTGGTTTATTAATAGATATACCCATGTAGTACACACGCATTGTGTATATTTGCAAGGATAATTGATTGTACAAAAATAATGTCTATTAAAATAACTTATCTCAATTCAAGTGCCAGATAAAATAAAAAGATAAAAATAGAACTACGAAAGTTATTTTTGACATAGCTAAAGAAGACGCGGCGCCAGGAATAGGGGCGACAGGGTTCGTGTCTATAATAGGACCTCGGAAATATTCTTCAAATATCTCATCCCAAAGAGCAGCTCTCTCAGGAATAGGGCTGCTTTCCTTCAGCACTATGTCTCGACCCAAAGACATGTGAGGAGATCTTTGAGCATTCGCAGGTCTCCATGTAGGCAAACTGGGGTCACTGGATGATGGGTAACTAAAACAAATATTGTATACTTAAATCGGTGACCAAGGTTATTGACATACTTAATTAATTTGATATATCCATGAAAATTTTGGTAGATAAATCATAATTTTATGAACAAGACTGTGTTTTTTAATACACTTTTGAAATAGTAGACATAATATGAAACTACTGTCAAAGAATTAACATAGCCATCATGGATATACACAACATATGTACTAAGAATCTCACCCATTGGAAATGAAATTCATCCAATACTCTCTCATAATTTCTTGCATTCGCTTATATTCTTCTGTAGCACCAGTGAGATCTCCGTCTGAGACTATCCTTTCTTGAGAACAATGTCTGGCACCAACTTCGTCAGTTAATGGATAAACTGGTGAATTTTCATCCACAAAAGAGTATTCAAATAAATATATCGAATCTTCTAGAGCTCCCACACGAGTTGAAAGTGTTTTTAACATTGGGTATGCAAAAAGTACATCAGTATTATAATAAATGTAAGACAGAAAATTATGTTCACTCACGGGATTATCTCCGAAATAGAATTGTTTCACTCTCTCGGCAACTTGCTCTTTTACTTCTTCACTATCAAAGTGTAATTCTGAAGGTAAAAAATCTGAAAACTTTTCGTTCATCATTTCCTTCCATGTATCGAAAACAGAGAATCTCACCGAACCATCCATATTTGTAAAGCCATATATCCGAGGCACCTTTGTATAGTTCCCTTGTGACAATATATTCATGGGAGCATCTGATAAAAATATTTCTTGTCCATTATCACGTTCTACGCACGGTCCAAATCGTGAAGTAACGCCTTCGTTATTTATTATAGCGTCAGTTCGTGAAATTAGCTGCTGGATGCTAACGTTTTTATAGAATTCTTCTAAACTGTTCAAATCATTGACGTTGTCGAAGTTTAGTACCGCAGCGTAGTTCCTAGCATTTTGGATGGGATCAACTTGTGCTGCAACAGCACCGATAACAGTACCACTCTCCTGAATCACTTTCTTAAAAAGGCCATTGGTAAGACTCGATACAGTCAGGAAATCTAGCGAACCAGATCCAGCACTGCACGCAGATAGTGTCACATCATCAGGATTACCTCCGAAACTAGCAATGTTAGTATTTACCCAACGAAGAAGTGCTACCATATCCTTCAGTCCCGCATTACCGGGAGCAGCTTCAGTGCCTAGACACAGGAATCCGTGCACTCCTAACCTATAGTTAAAAGATACTGAAATTATCTTTCTCTTTACTAATTCAGTAAACTGTCTCTGCAAACCAAAACCAAATTGGTAAGCTCCATCGTGAACATATACTTATACATGTACAGGTAAATTAGTCTCCTCTGTGTCGGGGATGAACACGTTGACCACAAGGCAGTCTTCCTGGATGTTCAACATGTACAGGTAAATTAGTCTCCTCTGTGTCGGGGATGAACACGTTGACCACAAGGCAGTCTTCCTGGATGTTCATAGTTCCACTGGCAAAACGTTGCGGACACATAATCTTGCGATCTTCAGCTTCAAATGTTGTTAGCCATGTGGGTGGAGGACGAGGTGCCTGCACAAAATTATAATATATTACATGTATTTCTGATCGTTTATAAGTGTCTAGTTAACAGTATATAAATTAAATCCCTTGGATTATCTGAACAGGGTAGGTATTCCTTAAATTATATTAAAAGTATTTTTTATCAAAAAAACCTAATTTTATTCCAACACACGCACAAATTTCGAATTATTAGAGTTATGTACGACATATGAAACAATTACCTTATATCTGTCAGCTCCTGTTGGGGCAGACGCGTAAGGAATATTGTAGAATCCGTAGACGCCCCCACCAGGAAGCAGGCGTCCGCGCACTGGTCCTTGAGTTATATTTACAACACGCGATCCATCGCCTAAAACATCGGCGATACAGCAAAATAATACCACAAACTTCCACATCTTTAATAGCTTACTGCCCTCTCGATAATCTTAGACGTGACTGAGAATTATATTACCTCTCATCTCTTTAATATCGGCTAAGTATCAGTAATTTGTAAAAATTAAAAAAGATAAAGTTAAAATCAATCATTTATCCAGTCGCTGAAATATTTTTGATAATCTGTATAATCTCAATCAAACGAATAAAGTATTTTGTATCAATTAGTTCGAACTTTACTTAGATACTAGCTTTAGCACGTGACCTAGCTCCCGCCATACTCAACCTTAATCTGACCTTTTTTGAGGAAAAAGATTTAGGACAGTATTCCATAATAAACAATATATTATTCACAGCCAAAAGTGAGGTCATAACACTATGTGTGGCATTTATGATCTTTGAAAATAAAACCACCCCGTTTTTAATCCTGGTCCGCGCCGTACGTTCAATGCAACTCCGATGGGTCTGGTATATAGCCCCATGCACTATTACATCCGCGGTGGCGGTATAAAGGGGCAAAGTCAAAGTCAAAGTCAAAGTCAAAATCATTTATTCCAACTAAACCATAAATAGGTACTTTTGAAACGTCAAAATAGAAAAGTAGTCTGTCAGTCTGTTCGTCAGTGAAGCTAGGTGCTCATTCCAAATTGTAGATTCGAATGGAGAAGAACGAGCAAGAAACTCCATTCGTTACTCTTTTTTTTTTTAAATTGTTTTACAATTTCAATAATATAACATTTATAGTATACATTAGTGTACCCCTATGTGAGAACAATGCAGAGACAAGTTGTTAAAAAAAAGAACAAATGAGGGGACCTATCATAAAATTTTACTACTTTGTCGTCTCGAACATGGCGCTCACATATGCGTACTCACAATCTTTAAGAGTGCTTCTATATAAACTTTTTGGATATATAAATTAAGGATGCATTATTTTTGAGAATTTTACCTAACTGCTGACTATATTTGAGTATTGTCCAGTGGAGCCGAATCAACATGCTGCCAGGCATTCTTATCCTCAATATAATCTGAAAGTTTGTAGTATGCCTGTCTACACAATTCACGTTTAATATAAGTTTTAAATTTTCGTTCGTTAAGATTCAATACAGTACTTGGAATTTTATTGTAACAATTTACACAGAACCCCATAAAGGATTTCTGTACCTTGGACAGACGGAATCGTGGCACAGCCAGCCTATCTTTGCCTCTTGTATTAAAATTATGTCTATCGCTTCTTTTTTCAAATAATTGCAAATTTTTCCTTACATACATAATATTTTCATATATAAACTGACAAGGCACCGTCAGGATATTTATCGTTTTAAATAGTTCTCTCAGAGATTCGCGACGGGGCAAGTTATATATCGCTCGGATAGCCCGCTTTTGTAGAATAAATATTGATTCTACTTCCGCAGCTCGACCCCACAGCAAAATTCCGTATGACATAATGCTGTGAAAATAGCTAAAATAGACAAGCCTTGCTGTGTTCACGTCTGTGAGCTGTCTTATCTGTCTAACTGCAAAAACAGCAGAGCTTAGTCTCCCCGAAAGCGTCTTTATGTGGGAACCCCATTGAAGTCCATTGTCTAGTGTGATACCTAGAAACACTGTCTCGTTGACAAATTCTAACTTTTGCCCATTCAAAATTATGCTACAATCATTACTGTGTACGTTGGGCAAGCTAAATTTAATACATTTTGTTTTTTTCTCGTTAAGTGCTAAATTATTGACTGTAAACCAATTATGAACTTGATGAATGGAGCTGTTTACTTCGTCAAAATTATTAGAACGTCGACCTATTTTAAAAATTAATGATGTATCATCAGCAAACAGCACCATACTTGGCTCAGCTTTAAATAAAAATGGCAAGTCATTAACATACACTAAAAAGAGAAACGGACCCAATATTGAACCCTGTGGAACGCCCATTCTTATCTCAGAGCCCTGTGAGTTATAACCACCTACATGAACTCTCAGCTGCCTATCCTCTAAATATGATTTTAGTAGACGGAGTGCAGTATGTCTAATCCCGTAATGATCTAATTTCAGCAAGAGTGTTTCATGATCAACGCAATCGAACGCTTTTGAGAGGTCGCAAAAGACACCAACAGCATCCTGTGCTTCCTCCCAAGCACCGAGTACTTCCTTTATCAACGTGACACCGGCGTCAGTTGTACAACGACCTTTAGTGAAACCGTATTGTTGGTGATGGAAGATGGCATGTTTATCAAAGTGATGAAGCATCCGAGATAGCATTAACTTTTCGAACACTTTGCTAAGAACCGGCAGAACAGACACAGGCCTATAGTTGTTTGGTTCCTTAGTGTCACCATTTTTGAATAATGGAATAACTTTACTGTATTTCATTAGGTTTGGGAAGACACCGTCATCTATACTTTTATTGAAAATCAAAACCAGATACGGCGCTAAAGTTCGGATAAGTGATCCGCAGACTTTCACGGATAGTCCCCAAAGGTCCTCAGTTGATTTGACCTTGATTTCTTTAAAAACCTTTATTATCTCTAAAGGATTAGTATAATGAAAAAATGAAAACTAAAGTCGCATTCGCATGATTTAACATTTTCTCTAAGCAAAGTTGCCGATAGTCTGGCCGATGATTTTAAATGAGCCGTTGTTTTGACAGGTATATTAGCAAAAAAAGTCTCTCAACTCAAACTCCTGAGCTACATCTGTGCTTGACGAAATCTGTCCCCTCTCTGTGTTTAAACAAAAAGCCGAATGTTTTAATTTATTCCTACCTGTCTCATTCTGTATTATTTTCCACGTAGCCTTTATCTTATCTTCAGCTGATTTTATTTTATTACTGATGAAAAGACGCTTTGCGGTTTTGCATACTATTCTAAATGTCTTTGAGTACAATTTTACATGTTGATGAAAAAGAGGGTCGCAATTGTATGGTTTCATGCCATAAAGTTCAAAAAGTTTATCTCTACTCTTACGAATACCTGCGGTAGCCCAATCGCTAAACTGAAACTTAGCATAGACACCTTTATATTTCATTGGCAAAATATCTTGAAATTCCCTATTTAACACCGTAAAAAATTTTTCGTATAACCTACTTGGATTACTTACATCAAAATTTTCTATACTTAATTTAGATGCTAATGAATCATTAAGTTTCTCTAAATTTTTATTTGTTATATGTCTAAACTTTATTTGAATTTTTTGAAGAGGCAAATAAGAGCTGTAAGTAACCACAAGACCACTGTGGTCAGAAGGTAAACTGTTTATAACTTTTTTTTCTAAATAGTTGCAGTTACTAAAAATGTTATCAATACATGTGGCTGTGGAGGGTGTTATCCTAGTCGGTTCTAGAAAAACATTTTTTAAATTAAATGATTCAAACAAATTTAATAGCTCCATGCCACTTGTATTGTTCTCCAATAAATTAATATTAAAATCGCCACATACAAGTACTGATTTATGGCTAGAACATACTTTCCTCAAAACATCTTCCATTACAGAATCAAACAATGCAAGATTCTGATAATTAGGTGGTCTATATACACAAACAACAACATGTCTATCCAGCTCAACACAGGACAACTCAATAGTGTGTTCAACTGACAGTGCTACAATATCTTTCCTTTCTTTGGACTTAATGCTATTTTTAACTAAAATTAAGGACCCACCATGTAACATATACTTTCTACTAAAATTACTTATTACAATATAATTATCAAAATTAAAAGATATTAATTGGTCCTCTTTCATCCAATGTTCCGCTAAACACACAATATCAAATTGTGTTTTCTCGAGGAACATTTCTAATTCAAATAATTTAGATGAGCAGCCCTGAATATTAATATAAAATAAGATAAGATTGTGCTGCCCCTGAGCCTGTGTAACAACATTTGATATGAGTTTTTTTTTTGCCAGAATATACCTTACTACTAACATTATGTATGGTGGTATGTTCTGTTGTCTTAAAATCTAGTTTAAATCTATCACTGTGTTGTTAGGTAGCCTAGACAGCACAGATTCGTCCCTAAAACTAATATCAGTTATATTTTTTATAACAGAGTTAATATTGAATGCTATTAGCATAGCAAGTGTTTTTCTATATGTGTTTGAGAGGGATATGCCTCTCTCTGTCAATATAAAATCACTAATAAATTTATTAGTATCAAAAAAAATTAATTTGTCACTATGACAACATGTCAATTGGTGTAGCGTACTGTTAAGTACACCTAAATGTCTATTTTTGGAGTCTGTTAAGGTACTCGAATAGGGAAATGCACAAAGTATTATTTCCCAATTTTAATTTTAATAAAGTGTCCACACCGTTTACAATGTCCCTTTTTTCTACATCCAAACTGTTACCTACTAATAAAACTAATATTGATTTTTCATTATATTCAGTCTGAGTTATTTTTTCAATAATCTTATTGTAACTCAGACTATGATAACTATTGTTAATGTAATTATGGTCTAAGTGACCATATATCATGTTACCTAAACCAGCTGTAAGCTGGTCCCCATAAGCTGGCCTCCCAATACACCAAATCCGGAAACTCTACAGTGCAACACCTGTTACGGCACATCTAGAGATGGAAGTCCACGTGTCCGTACGTATTAGACCCTCTCTGTAAGCTGTGCATGGCGATATGTGGCATAGCTTTAATTACTCTAGCCTTATCTACTGCTGGCCGAGACAGATCTCATCCGATCCGGTCTGCCAAGATCCGTTTTCATCACTCAGAAGCCCACGCTGGACACATTGAATGTGCGGTTAGATGAGTCCAGGTCATATGCACGGTGATGGAAATTTGGCATCGATCGTCGATCAAGTCAAGACAAGACAAAATCATTTATTAGACCACAGAAGGCACTTTTGAACGTCAAGCAAAAAAGAGGAAAAAAGTATTTCAAGAGCTTTAACTTTAAGCGTGACAGTCTGTCCGTCTGTCCTCTAGTGAAGCTATTTACTCGTTCCAAGGTGCAAGAAACTCCATGGTTACTCTTTTTTAATCAGTTTTACAATTCATTTCCTTGTTACATC